TATAAATAATACTTTGTCGATTAAAATTTTCTTACCGATCTCCTTTATAGCCTACTTCAAGTTCTTAAGCCCATAATCACTACAAATTTACGTTTTATAATTCTTTGTTACCCCCAACAAATTGACGCTAGAGTAAGAACCATAAGGGTTTTGGTTAAACTTTGCCTTAAAAATGTCAAGAAAATTACTATTTCAAGCTATCATGTCTTCTTCCAATAATCCAAGCAACAATCAAGACAACCATGAGGCTAATTCTCCTCATCCTACTAATATCATTCAAATTTACAATAATGCCACCTTCGTTAAAGGTATAACCGAAATTTTTACCCAAATGCTTCACAATATCCATCACAATACTTACCCTCGAAAGCCTTCCTACAAAAATCCAAACCCGGCCTGCAAGCCTTTGTGTCACAAGAGGGAAACTATTTTGATTCTCGTGTGACCAATAAAAAGGGTAAATAAAAGGTTGGTTGCCCAACCTAACCCCAAGAAGGGATCGAAGAAAGCCTAGTCTAATTTGTTGTTGAGCTTAGCTCAAGCACTCTACTATGTTCGAACTCTTCTCCATCACCAAATTACTAACAATACTCCTTGCAAGGAAGCAACAAAGAGTGTTGTAATCAAACGTCAAATCATCAAAGCACGAGCCCGCCAAACTCCAGAGCCTCCTCATCGGCTTGTCCCTGATATGCTTTCTTATATCCTTTTTATAGAACATTGGAATGAGACATCTTTGGGATTTGCACAGATGTTAACTCGATGGAGAGCATGTACGACTGTACTCTTTTTTCCTTATCTCAACTTTTTTCCACATGGTTTTTTCGGATAAAGTTTTTAATGAGGCAGGATAAACGTATATTTAATAGTTGTAATTCCAAGAGGGAGTGTTATGAGCAAGTGAATTTATCACTAGTAATCTTATCAATATTAATCTTATCATAAATATATGGAAATGTGTGAATGTATAAAAATATGTGAAGAATCATGCTTGAGAATTTGCCTATAAAAGGCAAGTGAGTGTAACGGGACGATATTGAAATAAGAAGGAAGAAAATCAGTATATACATTATATTCAATTTCTATATTGGGTTCTTTTATTTTCCCCGCATTTATAACACTTATAGTTGTTATTTGTGAATCTATATATATATATATATATAATAAGAATTACTATTTACTATAAATAGTAACTAGAAATTTTAGGACAACATTAATTGTTTACTATTTTTGGATTTTTTTTTTCTTTTTTTTTTTAACATTAATCCTTATCATCATTTGACTTAGGTGGCCTAAAAAAGTGGAATTTAATTTGAAAAATTCAAATCAAATCGTATCCTAAAATTGTATTTTTGTTAAATTCCTCATAATACAATCCCATATCAATACCATTTTTGAATTTATTTTCTTTAAACATACAACAGAAACAGTATCAACTTACACAATTTATGCCTTCCTAAATTTAAGTAATTTATTGGTCCCCAAATTAGTGAAGATTCCTTGCATGAAGGATTTATACAATTTTGAAAAAATTGGGAACTTGGTATAAACCCATCACATACGATATTGGTTTTGGAATTTGAATTTTCAAATTTCTTCCATATACATACGCAACTATTCACTTCCTAAAATTAATTAATTTGTTGAATCAAATACGATATTGTGGTATTAGTTTTGGAATTTGAAAACTTCCTTAAATTAATTAATTTGTTGAATCAAATACGATATTGTTGTCCGCCAAAGTCAGTGGAGATATTTAACATAAAGACTTTTTACAATTTAAAAATATTAGGACTCTTGGTATAAACATTTTGGAAAGCCTTTTTTCACAAAATAAATTTGAGATGGATTAGGAATTTCAAATCAATTCAAATTCATCTCTGATTACAAGTTAAAATTTTTCAAATTTTATTTTAAGAATAAAATTTATGGTTTCAAACTCGAGATAATGAGTTTGTAAATAGATAAATATTTTTTTTATTTTCTAAAATATTTATTAAAAAACTATAATGACAATAAATTTTATGATAAAATAATAAATTAAGTATTATACCAGAATATGTAAAACTATTATATTAGTATACTAAAACTATTATATTAATATGTAAAACTATTAAAAAATAAATATATATATACTAAAATCAAATTTATATTAGTAACAACGTTTTAGCGAGATAATATATTAATTAATTTACATACTAGAGCTAATAATTAATTTACATACTAGAGCTAATAGGTTGAGGTTTAACGTTATGACTAAAAAAATAACGATGGTCAAAAGAAGTGTAAAATAGATGATCTAACTCTATTTTTTTAAACCGTAAATTGCGGGGTAGTAGTGACCACTGCATAGACTATGCTTAGTGCACACTATTTTATTCTATCTAAAAGACAAGCAAAAAATCGAAGCCAAAGCTGGTACAGAAATCTTGAAGTGATTTCTGCACACTATCACAACAAAACTGATTCTACCAAATTTTGGAATCAAACCCAGTATTTTTTTCCAAATNACCTACACCTCAAGTTAGTGAGCCTACGGTGTCACGGGGGCAAAAAAAAAAATCGAGGAAAAAAAATACAAGAAAATAGGAAGTCCATAAACTGGCTTGGAAGTTGGAATCAAGAAAACAAATCAACAGAAATAAATAAATAAATAAATAATAATAATAAAACACACACACAGAGGGAAATGGGGATGCCACATTTTACTTTTTAGCACCTTCTCCTCTTTATCATTAGCATTTTCTAGTGGTTTATCTACCCTCTTTAGCAAATTGAAGAGACCCTTCCCTCATCAACTTCAAGCTAAGACTGTTGAATCTCTCCCGAGAATACTGTCTTGATGCTTTTCTCCAGTCTGTACCGGCTTTCATCATAGCAGCAAATTCTTCAAAACTTATGCGCCCGTCCTGCACGAAAAACCAATCGCCGACAACTCGAAAATAATTTTTACGATAAATAAGAAAACTTAAATACAAAATGGCAAAATTATGGTACGTGCATATATTATTATATGCACTGACCTTATCTGTGTCGACATCATGCATGATGGCAATGATAACTTCCTCATTATTGGCATCGTCTTCATCGCTCAAAGCATCACGTAGCTCCTCAACCTCTATGTAACCACTTTTGTTTCTATCAAAAAATGCAAAGGCTTTGTGCAAGTGCTCGTCATTGGCCATTTTTCTTAGATGAACCGAAACAGCAACAAACTCCGCGTAATTCAAACTCCCATCTCCATCAATATCCGCCTGTAACATCAAACATAAGATTATTCAGAGAGAAACTGAAAAAGACAAATGAACATAAAAGCTGAAGCATGCTTTTACTAACATTAAGTGACAAAAGATCACAATTTTTGAGGGTTCATAACAGTTTACATCTCAAATGGAAACAATGAATCCAGTACAAAGAACAAAAGTGATCGATTTCAGGAAAATTTCAACGATTGGACTATAAATAATAAAAACTATTTTCAAATATCATAACAGGAAATAAAATCATATATATTAGAACTGAGGGAATGATTGATGAGATCACAAATGTAGTCCTTACAGCTTCCATTAAAATCTGAAGATCGGTTTCTGGTATTTGGTGGCCAAGCTTGTGCAAACCGACTTTGAGTTCTTCAAGGTTAACCTTACCCTTCTTGCCAGTGTCCATCTTGTCAAAAGCTTCCTTAATTCCAGCAACTTCCTCCACAGACAAGTGCTCGGCTACAACCTGCATAACATGCCAAGTATATACAAAAAGAGGTGTCACCAATGGGGTATGTTTAAATTTTTTGTTTCATTCTTAAATCAAATTGTAACCAGGGATAATTACAAAATCACCCGAGCTTTAGCCTAACTACAAAAATAGCAGTATTTCCTTAAATTACGCATAACACCCGAACCTTCTATTTTTGTCCTGCAAAAGATCATTGGCTATCTGCCAATTTAACTAAATGCAAGAGTGGTTTTTATAATAACCTCTAATTATTATTTTCGTCTTGTTTTATTTCTTTTTCTTTTTCTTCCTGGTGTTGTTGTAGATTATAGCAGGGTATTACTAAGGAAAAATGGTAATATCGATTATTACCCGTAGCGCTCTTTTTTTGAGCTTATTCATCACGGAAAATTGCTTGAGTCTTGCTTTCACAGTCTCACCCAGTGAGACATTAGGCGCCTTGTTTATATTCTGCAGCCACGGGTGCTCTGCATATAAAGAAGCACATTGAAACAAAAAATGTACTCTTAGTTCCACCCTTCAGTTACGGTTTTTCACTATAAGCTCAAACAAAATTATTGCAATACAGCTGAAGCTGAGGAAAGAAAAATATTACCGAGGACTTGCTGGGCAGTGAGACGTCTGCCGGCATCTGGATTGAGCATTTTCTTAACGAGATCCTTTGCACTGTCTGATACTTTAGGCCAAGGGTCTCTCTTAAAGTCAATCACAGATCGGATAATCGCTTGTGCTACTCCTTGTTCAGTTTCTGGGCAAAAGAAGGAATACACAAATGGGAATTTCTCAGAAGTTTGCAATTCAACTTTTTAACACCATTAATAACAGTTCTGTCCATCATTCCTCATGGCATTGGTAAAAAATCATTTGAAAAATTACACTACACCTTATCTGCTGGCAGGTCTAGAAATGGAATGATTAAAGTTACAATGTTTTTTTCTCAAGTGAAACGAGGCAGGAGATTAAACAACAAAAAGATTGTTGCGGACCATTCTTTTTATTCTATTGTTATATCATCTGGAATAAACTATTGGCCTTCAGGCCCGAAGGATTAAGGTTCCCGCTAGGTTATTTTGCTAGGATTAGTATTCTATTTAAGTGAGTCTTTAGTGTTTTCCTCAATAAAATTGCGTATTTGACTTCTTTATACCTAATAAAGATGGAATCAAGCAACCATTACACACCAACAAACACAGCTATAACTCATGGACCCCAAAATCTAATTTTCACAATGTTGATTCCATTCCATGACAATAATTTCAAGATACTCTTTTATGTTGATTTTTGAACTATTTTCATATGCATCCACAAATCCATATAGCATGTTCGCGCAAACAAAATTATTGAAACTAACCTGCCCAGAAGGGAGGAACACCACAAAGTAAAATATAAAGTATAACTCCAGCACTCCATATGTCGACCTCTGGGCCATAATTTCGTTTCAAAATCTCTGGAGCCATGTAATAAGGACTTCCAACAATCTCATTAAACCGCTCGCCTGATGAAAATGGCAATCACAAAAGTTAAAATGGACACAGATTTAGTGTGCAAATCAGAGGAGGTGGGTCATCTGAAAAGACAATTGAAGGATAATATCACATACCAGGTTTGAAGAATACGGACAAACCAAAGTCGATTGCTTTTAAGGGGCTTGTTTCTTTCTTATTCGCAAAAAGAAAGTTCTCAGGTTTGAGATCACGATGCATCACTCCTTGTCTGTGGCACATCTATAGCACGATGGAGTAACATTAAGTCAGGTTTTATAGTCTAAACAAATTCAATACACATATAGACAAGTGACTAAAAAAAGAAAAGAATTGAACAACACAAAGTATGCAGAGAATATGATCTTTCATAAGCAACTAAAGGGCGTCAAACAGTAGCCAAGCCTGAAGGAACTTAAAGTATACACTATACACCAAGTAACCTTATTTTACCATCAGTAAAAATCTAGCACGTTCGTCAAGAAAAATCCACAAGATTGAATAGGCTATGCACACAACATAGACAATATTGAATCATATGGTATAAAAGACAAAAACAATTATCCACAATAGTCATTAGAATAAAACTATGTTCTGCAGTAACACAAATCTCCCAATACTACTTTGGATGATAAAATCAAGATTAGAACTCATAAAATAAACCAATACAGAACTATAACAGGTAGAAGACATAATTGAATACTGAAATATCACACCACTGCACTACCCAATCAACATTTCACAGAGTGTAACACAAACTCACAACATCGGGCTCCAGTCAACACAAAACATGCCCATACACGAATCAACTCATCAAAACCAGATAAAAAAAAAAACAAAAAATAAATCCACCAATAACACCACAATTTTCAAAGCACAAACAAAATCCAAAGTCCATTCAAAACCCCAAAAACGCAAAATTGATTGCAAAATCAAACCTGAACAACTTCCACAATTGTCCTCATCACATACGCAGCTGCTCTCTCCGTGTAATGCCCCCTCGCCACAATCCGGTCAAACAGCTCCCCACCTTCACACAGCTCCATAACAATATGCACTGCACTATCATCCTCATAAGTCGCTTTAAGCGTTACAATGTTCGGGTTCTTTGGCATGCGTGTCATAATTTCAACCTCCCGCCTCACGTCATCTATATCCACAGCCGTTTTAAGCTTCTTTTTGGATATTGACTTGCAGGCCAATTTCTCACCCGTCTCAACATCCGTGCATAGGTAGGTAACCCCGAATTCGCCCCTTCCAAGCTCTCGACCCAAATCATATCGAGCGCTTATGTCATGGCCCGTTGGGTCTTTGAGCACCACAAGCTTGTCTGGCCCGCCCAATCCATTGGCAGCGCCATAGTCAATAGAGAATGGGTTGGGTTTGTTCTTTTTCTTCTTCACTTTGGGCGAACTAGATGGCGCGGCACAGCAGTTTCCCATGGTTTAGGTATATGCAGCTTTAATCTCGATTGTGTTTAAAAATTCATGGTGCCCCTGATATTTTGCTTCTCGATTTCTGAGCTCCACGTCAATAGATCACATCAAGAAATAGCTGCGGAGAAAATTGATTTGTGTTTCCTTATTACACAATATGTATAGATGGATAGATAGATAATGACATGATCGAAATGTTAATCTGGATTTGTTCAAGGATTTTGGCAATGTCGTGATGAAAAGGTTGAAAGAAAGTTTACCGTCTACGGCAAAAAGAAGCTCTCTTTCCAATATGGTAATCAGAAAAAAGTAAAATTATTGATTTCGTGGAGAAAATGTTCATGAACTGTGGAACAATGGCATAGAAAATTGCTGAAGCGAAAACAAAAAATTCTCATAGAAATAAATCATAAAAACCTCCATGGCATCATCAATCAGACGCCGTGGATCTAAAAACAATAAAATTGTAAAATAATGAGAAAAATGGGACCTACCCAGAACGTGAGCACGATTGCTATGTGGAAAGAAAAAATGCGGTCAAGAACAGCTCAGATCAGATGAAGAACAAATGCAGATTTAACAAAGGGCTCTGTGAAGATGTGAATCTGCCCTGCCCCCTCAGGAGAGAGAGAGTCAAAAAGTTCTTTAACGCAGAGATTTCTCTCTCTCATGAAGAAGATGAAGAAGTTCCTACTAATAATCCCTCTCCGTTTCTCTCTCTGCTTTCATTTATCGCTATTTTTCTCCTTTTGTTTTGTGAATTAAACACCTTGTATTTTCTTGTGTGTTTGTTCACCTCTTTTTTACTTGTTAAAATAAAATGTTGTTACTCAATTTATTTTATTGCATTTTATAAAGACACGTGAGAAGAAAAAAATAATCACCTCTCTTATATATATACTAGTACAATACCCGTGTATTACAGGGTATTGAATTGGAAAGTTTTTGTAAAAAATATTAAATTTTTATTTTTTTAAAAACTAAAATAATTTGATTTTATATAAAACATTATTTTGGGTTTTAATTAAATTGTCAAATTATATTTTTTTAATCATAATAATTAAACACCCTTACATTAAATGAAAATGTCAACTCGTGTTGATTTTTACTTATATCATATAAAAATATCGATATTATTTACTATTACATAAATACAAAAATATATATATCTTAAATAAATAGAAATAATATGGTGATATGTATACGCATAAGTTTTTACTTAATTGGATGCCTGATACATATGCTTCACAGTTTTTCAACTTTATATGTAATATAAGAATTTATATAAATAATATAAATATCATTTTTAAAAGAATACATATCAATTTCTATTACTTTATAATATAATTTATAGTTTTATTTGATATAATATAATTTAGTTTGATAAATAAATTTAAATTTTATTAATAAGGATATATATTACTGTTTTGCATTATATATATATATATATATATATATAAATGGTAAAATACAAACGGATTTCATAATATCAATTCAAATGCAACACACTAATTAAGATTTTTTTTTGTTAACAATATTAACCATATTTAATGGATGTTATGGTAAATAATGGAGATGGGATATGAAAAGACACTGTGCATTAGATGGAGGGTTAAAAATGGAAAAATATAAATAAAATATTTAAAACGACATTTATTTTATCAATAATCAATTAAGCCAAAGTGACAAATAATAAAAATAGGAGGGAGTATATATTATTATATATTTTAGTATGACACATGTTACTTGTCGACTTATATGTATTATATTATAATAAATTTTCTACCTTATAACATATAACTACATCAAACGTAAATATATTAATTGATAATAATTTTATTTTCTAATTAATTTTAATAAATAATTTTTTTATTAGTATAAAGATAAATATAATTTATTTATTTTACATATACAACATGGATGTCAAATCAAAGCTCATCAAAAGATGATTAATTTGATATATTATATATGTAAAACCGATAAGAAATACAAAAGTTATCAACTTTTAAAATTTATTTCAATTCAATGGTTATAATAGGAAACAATATTAAAATACAAAATTAATATAAATATTAATTTATATCCAAGCCTAATTCTAAAGTATGATTTTTTGCCAAATAGGATTCCGAAGCATGAGAGTTTGTCACGTAGGCTCAGCGCATTCTGAAATTATATATACTAGTATAATACTCGTGTATTACACGGGTATTGAATTAGAAAGCTTTAGAAAAAGTATTACTTTTTTTAAAAAAAAAAACTAAAAATAATTTAATTCTATATAAAATATTACTTCGGGTTTTAATTAAATTGTCAAATTATATTTTTTTAATCATAATAATTAAACACCCGTACATTAAATGAAAATGTCAACCCGTGTTGAATTTTTTACTTATATCATATAAAAATGTCGATATTATTTACTATTACATAAGTACAAAAATATATATCTTAAATAAATAGAAATAATATGGTGATATGTATATGCATAAGTGTCGAGTTTATTTAATATTAAACACAATAGATTAATTTTTTTTATTTAATTAGATGCCTAATACATCAAGTGTCGTATCAGTCGTGCTTCACAGTTTTTTAACTTTATATTTTAGAATTTATATAAATAATTATTTATTTTTATTACATTGACAACATACCAATTAAATTTGAAATATATATCATTTTTAAAAGAATACATACCAATTTCTATTACTTTATAATATAATTTATAGTTTTATTTGATATAATTTAATTTAGTTTGATAACTATATTTAAATTTTATTTATAAGGATATATATTATTGTTTTGTATTATTTATATTTATATATAAATAGTAACATACAAAAGGACTTCATAATATTAATTCAAATGCAATACACTAATTAAGATTTATTTTTCTTGACAATATTAACCTATCTAATGGATGTTATGGGAAACGATGTAGATGGGATATGAAGAGACACTGTGTATTAGATGGAGGGTTAAAAATGAAAAAATGTGAGCAAAAATATCTAAAACGATATTTATTTTATCAATGATCAATTAAGTCAAAGTGACAAATAATAAAAAAAGGAGGGAGTATATATTATTATATATTTTAGTATGACACATGTTACGACTTATATGTGTTATATTATAATAAATTTTCTACCTTATAACAGATAACTACATTAAACATAAATATATTAATTGATAATAATTTTATTTTTTAATTAATATTAATAAATAATAATTTTATTATTATAAAGATAAATATAATTTATTTATTTTATATATACAATATGGATGTCAAATCAAAGCTCATCAAAAGATCATTAATTTGATATATTATATATGTAAAACAAAAAAATGTCATCTAGAAATTAATTAATCAATTTATAATATAAAGTTGACAAAATTAATAAACCCGGTTTTGGTATAAAGTGAGTGATTTTATTTGAGGTATATGATAACAATTTCTATTTTTTTTGTAGGAAATGTGATATTAATAACTCTCCTAATTTATGATATAAAGTGTGAGATTTTATTTGAGTATAAAATATCGGAATTTAAATGTTACAGATTTTATTTGGTATGGTAGAAGTTTATTTAGAAATTTTGAAAAATTTTATTTGGTATGGTATGAAAGTTGTATTTTAGGTTGATTTATTATAAAATCAAGATGGTATAATTCTCAAATTTTAGAATATTCTCATAATAACTTGCCATAAAATATTGATGATAATTCGGTAAATTGACACGTATTCCTCTTGAAAATCAGAAAAATCTTTGAACAAATATTTGTTAATAAAATTTAAAATTTAATTCTAGAGACTTAGTAGATAAATTTTAACAATAAGGTAACTGACAACAAATCTAGAAAATTGCTAGATAAATAAATATATATATATATATATATATATATATGAAATATATAAGAAAAATTTATTGTGTAGTCCGAAATTGAGTTGCAAATTTTAATAAAGCTATGAGCTGAATTAAATTATAATGGGAGAGTAAATTATAATTAGAGAGTAAAATCATAATTTTAAAATTAGAGAGTAAAATTACAATTTAGAATTTATCACATTTTTTTTAGTTGTGATGTCGCGTTTATGTTATAATTTTAATAAATATATGAGCTGAATTAAATCATAATTAGTTGAGTTGTAAATTAAATCATTATGTATATTTGTTTCTTTTAATTTTATTTTCAAAATAGGGACATAGTTAAAATTATAAAAAATATTCTCACAATTTTTGTTAGATACCTTGTCATATATGTTTTGGGATGGGAGTCTGTGTCGCACTATTAAATAAACACGGATCGGCCCATGATTCCAACAAAATAATTTTATTTGAATTTTTTCATTAGATAACTCAAACGGGAGTAATAACATTTAAATATTTGTTAGAATTATCGTTGAAATTCCACAGTAATAGATTTTTGTTGAATTTTTTGTTAAAATTTATCATTTTCTTATTGTAAATTAGGCTCCAAATCAATAAAAAAATTGTATTATTTATAATATTGTGTGCAACTAATTATTATAAAAACTGTTGATAATGATAAAAAATATAACACATTCAATGTAATTATCATTTAATTTATAATAAGTAGTATTTTTTAAAAAAAACAAATAGGATACATTTAGGTTGAAAAGTCTTTAAATAATTTATTAGTATTATGATTATTAAACAAGAGATAAGAATGATGTTCTACATAATAAAAAGGTAAGACTACACAATTATAAAGCTTATAGCTCGCAGTCAATTGAAAAGTAAAAAAAGTGATAAAATTAATTAATGTCTTATATAAATTGGAATTAGGTAATGAGAAATATAAAACATACTTGAGATGCACATGTATTTTAACTTGAACTTTTAAGTTTTGCATAAAAAATCGGTATGTTAATCTTAATTTTTTAGTTTAAATTTAATTACTTTCTCCATTATGTTTTTCAATTTATACCTAATAGTTTTTTATTTGTTACTTTTTTTATGTAATATATCACATCATTTATTCCTAGTGATGTTCGATTTGACCAATGTATTGTAAATAAGATAAAAAGAATATAATTATTTCTATCGATATAAAATAATATATATATATATATATATAGGGGACGGATCCAATGAGACCACTCCTTAAAATGAGTACGTGAGACTCAATCTTAGCCACTCATTTTGTCTAGATCAAAATCAATTAAAATATACATTAATTAAATAATAAAATAATTATTAGTTGACTCCGGCGTTGACCGTTGACTTTCGGCGTTGACTTCCGACGTTGACCCGTTGACAACTAACCTAGCAGCAAGAAATAAATAACCTAGCAACAGAAGACAACTAACCTAACAGCAAGAAAGAAATAACCTAGCAATAAAATACAACTAACCTACCAACATTAGACAACTAACCTAGCAGCAAGAAATAAATAACCTAGGGATATTACTTGTCTGATCCTTTGGTTCACCTGGACAGAAAGGAATAGTGCGAAGCATAGGGATATTACTTTTATGTTTTCTCACATTGTTTTGCAGGTTGAGAGACACATTTCACTCCTCATCTCATTGGGCAAGCTCACGGCCCGAGACTGGACAGGCTGCACGCCACCGCAGCGCTATATGGTGGCCCCACCACCGCCTGTTCGGACTCCTCGGGCCAGAGCTGTTGTTTGGCTTCGACCTGACTCTCCGTGGGTCAAGCTGAACACTGATGGCTCCTTCGATCGCCACACTGGAGTTGCCGGAGGAGGAGGCTTGATTCGGGACCATAGCGGCGCCCTCATCACCGCCTTTCACGCATCCATTCGGGCCT